ATCAGTTTCTGCTGTCTGTGTCATTGGTACCAATGTGCACACCTCACTCCCTACCACTTACAGAATATTCTGCATCATCTCAATGATGTTCTTAACTCTGCCATTGGGAAAGAACACACCATGCAGGACTGAATAAGTTACAGATTTACCTGTTTGTCCCCACCATAATTAAGAAATCATCTTATTCAAAAAGAAACTGCAGTTCTTCATTTAGTTATTCACTCTTCACAGTTCCTTACCCATTGATGCCATGGTCTGGGCTGCACTCCCTCAGGACATCAACAATCTCAGCAATACCTTGCTCAGTGCCCAGCAGTGGCACAGTCTGAAGATTCCTGCACTTCAATGGCCATCCACCTGCTACTCTCAGCACTGCCTGTGGGGTGCACACCACTGGACATACAGACCAGAAAACCCATCTACTGTGATGCTCCAGAGTGACCCCACCTACTCTTCAAGCTTGGAAATTCTGACCTCAGGCTGGAGACACTTTCAATACATCACCCCTTCGAAGATAACTCTCTGGACAATGAGAAAAATATGTACATTTTCCAAGGTGAAATCAAGGCAAGAACCTTGAAAAATTTGGCTAAGTGTCATTTTTTATATGAACAATTTGGATGAAAATGTAGGAAACATGGTAAGTTTGTGGATAACACCAAAACTGGTGGTATAACAGACAGTGAAGGTTATCTAAGAGTACAATAGAATCTTGATCAACTAGGCTAATGCATTGAGAAATGGCAAGTGGAGTTTAATTCACATAATTGCGAGGTGTTGCATTTTGGTCAGACAGACCAGGGCAGGGACTCATAGTTAATGGTAGGCCCTGGGGAGTGTTGCCAAATAGAGAATCTTGGGTTCAGGTACATAGTTCCTTTGAAGTGGCATCACAAGTAGACAGGGTGGTGAATAAGGCATTTGGCATGCTCTATACAGGCCCAATGCACGCAAATGGGACTAGTTCAGTTTAGGAAACTTGTTCGGCACGGGCAGATTGGGCTGAACGGTCTATTTCTGTGCTGTACAACAGTGACGCCAGGATGTAATCTAGCTGTTGCTTTCATTTGCAACAACTGTTTGCAAAGTCTGAGTTAACCAAATTAATAAAGATTTAACAGGATAAGAAAGAAATTTATTATGCCCGAAAGAATGAGGAAGTCTAATCATATTTAATGCTAACATTTAATGCTCTTCCTCATACATTCAACATCCAATTATATATAAACTGGTTCAATGTTGTAGCTGACAACATACAAACGACGACAACTCCACCTTCTGGAACCATCAGATTTAGGTTAGTAAAGCTTTGTAGCTACATTACTATTGACTGTGTGGATGCAGTACTTAATTTACCTGGTAGCTGTAAACATGAATGATTAGAAATCAGACTTGGAACAATGGTCAAGGCAGCAGGGAAGGCTAAGGAGACAAAGAAAAGTGAGCATTCCTGCTGGAATCATGCTCATTTATAACATGAACAAACTAATGATGATTCTCCGAATTACTGATTTGGCAGCCAGTACTGCTAAATATGAGTGGCCAATTATGTCTATGGAAATAACCTTGTACAAGAACGGGACAACACACTGTGGGGCTGGAGGAACACAGCAGGCCAGGCAGCATCAGAGGAGCAGGACCCTTCAGAGCCACCGTCTAGAAAAATGGGTCTTCAAAGCTTTTAAAAACAATCATACAAAAGTCAACAAACGAGCGGTACATTGTTGTCCTAATGAATATCTGGCTCCTACGTGCCCCTTCCCAGTGTAGAACAAGTTGTGAAGAGTGTAAATGAGCCACGCTTCGCCCAGTGTGTGTGTGTACCATCTGATCTCAGCTCAGGGAGTAGCCTTCATTTCACAACCCACCTCAAGACTTGGTGGACTGAGGAGAGACATGGAGTGATTAGAAAGAAAGAAAAAGCCGAGGATGCCTCTTCTAATTGTGATTTAATGAAACTGTGCGGGCATTGAACTTGCTCTTGAAGATTTCAGGTGATTAAACCTGTTTTTACAAATGAAGGAGATAAAATATTCAGCATCCTGAAGCTCTTTCTCCTCTTATTGTACCTTTGCAGAAGTGCTGTGAGGGACTTCCAGCTGTGCCAACATATAGCTGACATGTCACTTTCCTGTTCAGCACTTCAGACCAGGGAGCTTTGCACGAAATAACTGATTTGCAGCTCAGAAGTGAGACAAAGGAAACACTAGATTTATTAAAATGAGGACTTTATTCTGCTGTTCTCTCAAATGGAAAAGCAACTCTTAAAAAAAAATGGGTGCTATTCACACAGTAATGTCTCTCAAAAGCACCTGCAAAAAGTGTTCTACGCATGCCCCAACCCTCCCTCCCAACAAAATCTTTAAACATTGTAATGTACAAAACTGTATTTACAAGAGAAAGTTCCAGCCATTTCAAACAGTGAAAGTTGCCTTTCTGACTGAAGCACACTCTAGCACTATACAATGCCATTCGTGCAGGTAAAAGTGAAGCGCCATAAATTCCCGAGGGGGAGACGGTGTACATGCTCCTAAAATGCATAACGGGTTCGGATGTCTTCCAGTTTTTTGGACACCTCAGCTGGTGTTCTGTCCAGTTCCTCTGCCACACTTTTCTGTTTTATGGGATCCATGGAGTTGAACTGTTCACACAGGTCGCCATCGATTACGTTCTAGAAGAAGAGAAGCAAACACATGCGCATGTATTAGTTGCATTGGCTAGCTCCATCTTTATTCTGTAAAGAAAGGCTGTGGACTTGAAAAAAGAACACTATCATCTGAAGTTTTGTTATAGATTTCAATTTTAAGCCAATGGAACTTCACCAATGTTACAAAGAACTGGGACAAGGTCATTCCTAAACTAGTCATCTATTTTTCCATTTACACATCACTCTCCTTCCAAAAAGTTGGCTCCTTGCGAGGAAATGAATGACTCCATGCAGAGTTGCTCAGTTCTGCAGTCATAGTTACCTACATCTGTTACATTTTGTTATGATTTAAAATTATGCTACAAGAAACTGTAGAACCTTGAAGGATTTAGCTAGACACAAAACAGATTGTTAATCCCCTAGGCACAAACTCCATTATTAAAATGTGCCTATTCTCATGTGGTCAATTAGTTTGACCAGAGGATATGGGGGAGGGGAAGGGAAAATCCAGTCACTGGCATCCTTAACTGTAATCAAGCTATTTATATTGTGACTGTGCCAATATACACGCCACAATGCTGGCTTCAATCAATGGTCCAACCACAAATCTGTCACAAACAGTTTGCATTTGAAAAGGATATGCTTTCTTTCACTCCTTGCAGTTCCAGATCTCAGCAATTGTGCCATTTATACAATGCCCTATGGACAAAACCTGCGCAAGGAGGTGAGGCTCCTCTGGGTATCAATGTTTTCTTAAAGATGAAACACTGACTTTTGAACCTTTGCAAAATATATTTTGCACCTAATGTGTGTGGTTTTCCAGCTTGATAGCTCAGTGAATGGATTTCATACCATCTGCTCACTCGTCACCTATACTGAAAGTGTCTATTTGTATGGAGGAAAAGAACCAAAACAGGTATAAAATAAAAAGGTTCATTCATAATTGGGCTGAGAAGATGGGAGTCACATAAAATGCCAACTTGAAAATGTAAGCATGAGTGGATTAATCTCAATCATGATAGATAGACCAAAAAACCCATTAACACACAAAAATGGAATTTCCAGAGGTTCTCTGAAATCAGCAGAAATCAAAAGAACAGCAAAAATAGTGACTTCTGTTGTTTCTCCACTTCCTGCCTGTGAATATACTTGTGTGTGCCCATAGAAGATGTCTAGTGAAGACAGCAAACATGAACCATAATGCAGCAGTCAACTCACCATTGGGGCTGGCAGGGCACAATGTGACAAAAGTTTGCAAAAAATGCAATTTAACATAATTAAATCAAATTATGATGATACAAATGGCAGCAATCCATTGAGTTCTTAACTTGTAGGACTGCACAATAGATCCACAGAATAAAAATGTTACAACAGTGCTAAGGTTCTTAATGGAGCAGAAACTCTTAATACCACACTACAGTGTAGTGATAGACATAGGATTTTTAAATTTCTCAAATTCATTCTCCATTTTGGTCCATGTGTGTATACAGAGTTGAGCTGTACTGCCTTTACTACCTTTGTAGCTTTGAACTACATCAGCAGTCCTTTTATAATGGATATAAAGTATGCACTTCTAGATGCAATACCAAGATGTGCTTTTCAGGGATTACAGCAGATACCTTCAAGATCCAGCCCATTCGTCACAATTTAGTCTGGCAATTCAACTGACAAACGTTCTTACAACCCAGCATCATTTGCATTTCTAATTTCTCATCATTGCTCTGTCTTGTTTTGACTTTGTACGGGCTTATGGGTTTGCAAAGAGCTATTTTTGACATTCATTGATGGTTAAATATTAAAATAAGATTTTCAGTGATCAGTAA